GAGTAGCTGGTAATTTCGAACTGCTGACCTTGCGGTTCATAGCCCGATTTGTAACCACTATGCTACCAGAGCTCCTGTGGGTCAGGTACACCTTAGGAAATTGTTCTAATTCAAAGCATTCATGGACATAAGTGTTTTTAAAGACTTCTTATACCTCTGGAGTACAGTGTCTCCATACAATAAGCACTGGACTGTGAACCGTGGTTCAAGCCCACCAGCCACTCTGTGGGGCAAAGATGAGCCTTTCTGCTCCCACAAAGCCTCAGAAACCTTATACAGGGTCACTATGAGTTGAAGCCAACTTGATGGCACTTGACAACAATGCACCTCCTGGAATACAATGTTTCTTGGATTAAGAAGAAAATTGGAGTAAGAAAGATATAATGGATTTGCCCTCTATTTGCTTTAAAGTTAATAGTTAATTTCTAAATTATACTATGATTATTGGTGCAAGAATAGACACATAGACCAATGGAACAGAAGAGAGAATCCAGAAATAGACCCAAATGTATAGGTTTAATGGATTTACCAAAAAGCATAGCAAAAGGGTAGTCCTTTCAACACATGGTGCTGAAGGAATAGAATATCCTTTGGGGGGAAATTAATCTTCACCTCTACTAATAGCATACATAAAAATTAATTCAAGATGGATCACAAACCTAAATATAAAAGGTAAAACCATAAAGATTGTAGAAGAAAACCTAAATGTTCTCTAGAGCCCTGGGCTGGACAAAAAAATTCTTAAATAGGACATAAAAAGCTCTAATCATAAGCAATTTGGTTAATTGGGCTATATTAAAATATTTTAATAGGGGGTGCTGTTAAACTGTTGTCAGGTCAGCTCCTGACTCACGGCAACTCCACGAACAGTGGAATCAGATCATTTCTCAGACAGTTTTCATTGGCTCATTTTCACAAGTAGATCCCCAGGCCTGTCTTTTTAGTCTGTCTTGGTCTGGTAACTCTGCTGAAACCTGTTCAACCGATAACAACACAAAGCCTTCCCTGACTGCTGGATGGTGTCAGTCCATGAGCTGCATGTTAGTGTTGGGAGGCGCCACCCAGTCAGTTCCCACTCATAGCATAGTGACCCTACGCACAGCAGAACGAAGCACCACTGTCTGGTCTTGCAACATTCTCACAATTGTTGTTGCGCTGGAGTCCAATGCTACTCTGCCACTGTGCCAATTCATCTCATTGGGGGTCTTCCTCTCTTACACTGACCCACTGACTTTACCAAGCATTATGTCCTTCTGCAGGCACTGGTCCCTCCTGATAATATGTCTGAAGTGTGAGAGACGAAGTCTTGCCATCTTTGCTTCTGGGGAGCACTCTGGCTGTACTTCTTCCAACACTGATTAGTTTGTTCTCCTGGCAAGTTCATGGTACCTTTAATACTCTTCTTCAACACTGTAACTCAAATGCATCAATGAGATGCATGGAAGATGAGTGCTCCACAGAACCACTACTGCTTCTCCATATTAAAATTAAACACATCTATTTTTAAATTATGAAATAAGAAAAATGCAGTTTGTCTTTAAGACATCAGACAGAAAATCAGACTGGAATTCATCCATGTGCACTTCAGAATCTACTTCCTGGGGATAGTCTGATAACCTACCTGCACAACTAGAAGGAAATGGAGGCAGGTTAAAATTAGAGATCTTTTGTAAGACCAAGCCCTCACATCCTCACAATGAAAACATCTTGCATTCCTTGTGTGGTTTTGATGTGTAAGAGGCAGCTTTGTTCTCAAGCCCTTCCAAATCTTTGAACACTGGTGCATTCTTCACAGAACAATCTGTAGATATTCCCTGAGCTTTGAGGTCAACCTGCCAAGTTCATGTGTGGGAAGAAGGACAGAGCAGCACGGGAGCCCAACAAGAGGTAGATAAAAGTAGCTCAAAGTACAGCCGGATCCAGTTATGCAGTAACCAAGCCCTGGGGGTCACAGAACCATTGAGGAAACCTGGGATGGAGCAAGGCCCCACCCGGCCCTTAGCTGGGTCCTGTATTGGTACATCCAGACCAGGAAATGTCTGAGACAAAGCCAGAAACAGACAGAACTACAGCACAGCTATGTTCACACAAACACACTGTGACTGAACTGTCAAGACCCCTGGCTAAGATCTATGCTTTTTATTTGGACCTATGGTTTGAAGGGAAGGAAGCATGAAATATATTTAGAGCTTCCAAAACTTTGATTGTTTTGTACATTCTTATAAAGGGAAAAAATAAAAATACCCTGAAGGATTAAAAAAAAAAAAAAAAGTCTGCTTCTGATATTTGAGATGAGTGGGAAACTCTTGTATGCTGGGGTCATTTCCTTTCTGATTTAAGAAATTAATCGTGCACTGGAAATAGCCTGTTGCAAAAGGAGGGACTTTGTGTCCTGGAATGCTGATTAAGCCAGAAAATTTTCCAGGCCCAAAGGGGAAATTATCTCTTTCCCAGGACTCTGATGCATGATGTCCCTGCAGTAGATAATATGAGGCCCAAGGAACCAAGGCAGCAGAGTTCTGAAATTGAAAAGGTATAATTAACCCCGACAGTCAAAAAATAGTTGTTGTATATTAAATCAGGGCAAAGTTGGGCTCTGTCCTTGGGTGCTGAGGCCCCCGTGTGAGCCAAGTTCGCAGATCTACTGTATACTGTTCAAGTCTCTCTAAATGCTCCTGGTAACTGAAACCTGCTGCTCAGAATTCGTGGAAGTGAAATAGCAATTAAACCAGCCCTTTGCCAGCAAGTCAGTTCCAACTCCTAGTGACCTTAAAGGATAGAGTAGAACTTCCCCTAAGGTTTTCAAGGTAGTAAATCTTTATGGAAGCAGATTGCCACATCTTTCTCCTGCAGAGTATCTAGTAGCTTCGAACCATTAACCTTTTGGTTAATAACCTAGTGCTTAACCATTGCATCACCAGAGCTCCCTGAAATCCTAATTACCACCCACCAAAAAGTATCTACCACCCATCAGTTTGTCATACTGTGGTGATTTCTGTGTTGCTTTGATGATAGAAGCTATGCTCCTGATATTTCAAATAACAGACAGCTACCCATGGTGGATGGGTTTCAGCAAGGCAGATTAGGAAGACAAGCCTGATGATTTACTTCCCAAAATTAAGATATTGCTCAAGATAGACTGCCATCATAGAGAAGAACATCATGGTTGGTAATGTAGAGGTTCAGCAGAGATGAACACTCCTTCCAGGAGATGGGTTGCCACTATCACTACAGCAATGGACTCAAACATACCAGTGGTTAGGAAGATGGTTCAGGACTGGGCAGTGTTTTATTCTGTAGTACCCAGGGCCTAAGCTCACTTGACAACAACTAACAACAAAGAATAGATAGGTGTGCCCATCTCTTCTAGAGCAGATGTTGGGGAGCTGGCCTCTCACAGAAAGGCATAGCAGATGGGCCCACGTTCTTTCAGCATACTTGGGTTGTCAAAGTGTGGTGTTTCAGAGCTGAGCCATAAATCCTCTCTCTGCTGCTTGAGTTCATCAGTTCTGGGTAATGTGTAAAGACTTCAAGTCCTGATACTTTCTGTTAATATCTTATTTGGCTATTTTTCACCCCTCAATTGATTAGAGCAAGGATCTGCAAGCTTCTTCTGTAATAAGCCAGATAATGACTATCTTAAGCCGTACAGTGTCAGACACAACTGCTTTACCCTGCCATTGTGACACAAAAGAAGTCAGAGACAATGCATCATATGAGTGTGGCATCTTCCCATAAAGTTATAATTTATGAACATTGAGATTATAATTTCATATTATTTTACATGACCTTGTTGTAATTATTTGTTTCAACCATTTACAAACATACAGCCATTCTTCATTCACGGGCCATATGAAAATAAGATGGCAGAGCAGATTTGGCTCATAGGCTGTAATTTGCCAAACCCAAGATGAAACGGTGGACATAAGAGTTGATTCCAGCTCGTGGGGACCCCATTTGTGTCTGGCTAGAACTGTGCTCATAGGATTTTCAATGGCTCGGATCTTATGGAAGTACATCTCCAGGTCTTCCTTCCCAGGTGACTCTGGGTGGGCTCAAGCCTCCAACCTTTCTGTTGGCAGCTGAGCACATAACAATTTGTCCCACTCAGGGACTCCTGAACCCAGGTCTAGAAAAGACACTTGCCACCGTCACTGATTCCAGAGTTTGGGAGTAGGGACAGGGAGGTATCAGTCTGGCCTTGCCCTGTTTGGTCCAGTACCTGGTGACTCTATTCAGGCAGTACCCCTCTTTGACAAGGGCCCCTGTGAGGGATCTAGACACTGAGAACCCTGGGAAAGAGACCTCCCCTTGAAGACCCTGCTCACACAGAGTAGGTCTGTCATTGCTCCTTCTGGGGCCTTCCTTCTGCCACTTTCTTTGATGCCCAGGATTTCATGACCCTCTCAGTCCCCTAGGTTACATGGCACTTTCCTTCCCCCACTTCAAAGATACTGTCTTGGCCTTAGCATCATCAGCTTGTCAGTCTTCGCTTCTACACTTCCTGAAGTAGGGATATAACAATTCCCTCCCTGATAAAGAAAGTAGAGTCAAATCTCTCTTTAAGGTTTTTTTCTTTCATTACTAAGTAATAGCTGTTTGTTGCTTGACCCAAAATAGAAATACTGGTAAACCAAAGAACAATTTTTAAAAAATGTGAAACTAAAATTCTGCAATATTAATGGGAAAATTCCAGATAATGCAAAACAGCTGGTGAATTAAAACTCATTTGAACATGGTTTGGGGGAGAGGAGAATTTTATAAACAACATATTTTTCTTCCTAACTGTTTTTGTTTGGGTATTTAGATTTATGCAGCCCAAAGCGTAGAAGAAAATCATGACAGTAGCAGGGAGAAACCAGTCTGGTCTTTGACATTTGCTTCAAACAATTCACAGAAGGGATGACTTCATAAACATAATCAAACACTGACTTCCTAGGATGCTGGGCAGTGTTGAGACTGTTTCATGGATGGTGTTGGCTTTGTGCCCTCTCGTGTAGGTCCTTCCATCGTGACACCCCCAAAGGACATCTGGAACGTCACTGGAGCCCAGGTGTACTTAAGCTGTGAGGTCATTGGAATCCCAACCCCTGTCCTCATCTGGAACAAGGTCGGTGGCCTGACAGACTCCTTTCTTAAAATCCTCCCCCTGCTCCTTCGCCTGCTGCTCCTCAAAGTTGAACTGTTGTGGGCACTCTAAGAGACACCTCTCCTTCAATCTCTTGAACATTTTTACCAGCCTGAAAAATAGTCCCCATTTCTGTGATTTTCTGTCAACTATAACCTTGCAGAAACCTTCTGAATTGATAGAACTAAAACGCTGAAGACTCAAACCCAGCCTCTGAGTGAGTGTACACATGTGTGGGTAAGTACACGTGTGTGAGCATGTGTCCATGCATGTGTGTCTGCTTGTGCATTTGTGCATGCATACCATATTTGTGCTTGCATGTGTACACACAAGTGTGTGTGTGTCCCCAATGTAGACAGTAGAATAGTGGTTAAGGGTGAATTCCTTGCCAAAGTGGCGGACACTATTGGCATTTGTGGCCAGATGATTCATCTTTGTGAGAGGCTGTCCTGTGCATTGTGGGATATTCAGCAGCATCTAAGACATCTATCCATTAGATGCCAGTTAACACCTATCCCACCTCCACTGTTGTGATAATCAAAAAGCCTCCAGACAATGCCAAAAGTCTGTAGATGGAGAAAAATGTCTCCAGCTGAGAATCACTGCTCTAAGCCTCTTTCATCCTCTGTACAGTAAAAGTGGTGGTGGTGTGCTGTGGAGTCAGTTCCAACTCATAGCAACCCTGAATAGGGTTTCTGAAGCTGTAAATCTCTATCGGATCAGAAAGTCTCATGTTTCTCCTGTGGAACAGCTGGTAGTTTCAAACTGCTGACCTTGAGGTTAGCAGCCCAACTCGAAACCACTGCATTACCAGAGCTCCTTATACAAGAAAAGTAGCATCTAATTATTACAAAGAGTAAACGGAGGCAGTGCAGTTCAAATCATTTGACTCTTTGCCAAAAGTTAGCACTCAGTAGCTAATAGCTACAGTCCCTGGGAGATTTTCCCTTTGAGTAGCATTATCTAGTGACATTATCTTCATGTTTGAAGGACAACATTTTCTCAGCATGACTATAGAAGGGAAAAGAAAACTCATTTGCCAGATCAAATAACACCTCCCAATTATACAATACATTATTGTACATTTTTGTCCTTCTTCTACATTTTGACTCATTTAAGTCTCAGAAAAATCCTATGAAGTACCAATTATCACCCTCATTCTTTCAAAGAGCAACAGTACAATGGATGTATGTACTGAAGTATCACAATCAGAATTAAGCACCAATTTTTGAATTCCAAAAAAAAAAAATCTCATAAATCTTGTGTCAAAAAAAGGAAGAAAACTGGGAAAGTTGGCATAAGTCAGATGGCATAAATGGACACTCCATTTCAGCTGGTTTAGAACCCCAGCAAGTCCCAAGATGGATGACAATGGTCTTTGACTATTTTCTTGCTTCATGTCTGTGACCAAAGGAGCATTTTGGAACTCTGGGGTTCGGGGCTCCTGTAGTCAGGAATTGCTCTGTTGCAAATTGTAAAGCCTTATTTCAAACTAGTTTAAGGAGAAAAACCAACAAAAAACGGGTTGACTCTAACTTCAAGGACAACTGGATTCAGGAACACAGTATCTTCAGGATTGGTTTCATTTTCTTTTTTACTCTAGAAATCTTCCTCCACACAGTGAACAAACAGTATTGTTACTGGCCACTCCAGGCTGACATTATTTCACAGCTTGAAGATTCCAGAGGAAAGAAAGGTCTTCCCTTCTCTGTGGCAATGCACAAAACCCACTGAGGGGCTCTGACCCAGGTAGGGTCACCTGCCACACTCTGGCTTCCTTGCACAACTGCTGAAATTGGCACCCCCATGAGGACACCTGTAGGAATGCAGTTAGAGCAATACCTGGGGGTGGGCAGAGATACCCCTGGTTATCCAACCACAATCCTCTTCACTAAAATCTCTGCTAAGTGAGCAGTGAAGAGCCAAAATGCAGCCCATGAAACAGAAAGCTGCTGATGTTCTTCATTGCTTATTTGGAAGCTACGGCTTTGTTCAGGGAGGGCGGAGGAAGCAGAGGGACGTTTCCAAGGAATACCCATAAAAGACCTTGCTGCTGTTCCCTAGAGATATTTACACAATGAAAAGCAGGGGGGTGAGGGGGGGGAACAAAGGGGGAGGGAGGGCAAAGTGTCCCAAGACATGTGACCTTACTGACAAATTTTGGCAGAGAATAACTTCTTCAGTCCTTGCTCTGCTCTACCGCAGCTGAAGAACACACATACCCAGGGGCTTACTCAGCCTTGGGAATCTTTGCCTATCAGCTTTTGGGACTGTATGGGGCAGATCCCTTGGGCTTCCGTAAGTGTTTGTTCTCAGGACTGCTCAAAAGCAGCAGACCTGTATCCCCGTCAAATCTGAGACTCCAACTGGGGTCAGGGACTAGAAAGAAGTACATGTGCCAGAAACAAGCCAACACCCAACAAACCAATAACCTATAAAGAATCCAAGAGCAACATTTTGAAATGAGGAAATAAACTGAAATCACTACACTAACCTTGTTGCTATTGTTGTTAAGTGTTGTAGAGTCAGTTCCAACCCATAGCAACTGTGTAGAGTTTCCAAGGAGTGGTGGGTTTGAACTGCTGACCTTGAGGTCCAGCACAATATCATGCAGCATCACACCAGGAATCCACATTCACCTTAACCCCGGTTAAGTCAGAAATGAGGATTGCTGACCTAGCCACAGAGGGCTAGAGCTGAGAGTGAAGCATCCAGCTGATATGAAGTGGGGGAAAATGCTCAAGAATGCTCAAACTTGCAGATAGTACCCATTTGACCTAGCTTGGATGGTTTGATGCTCAGAGCTCGAATAGAGGAAGATAAAGAAATTTGATAAAGGAAGCAAATGTAAATTGCTACAATTTGATGAACTTGACCTAGACTTACGGATGTAGTAGCTCAAAATACTAACCAAAAGGGAAGGAGTCTTCTCATCAAGATCAAGCCTATCCCCTCTGTACACAGGGTTGATAGGGATGGGCAACTTAGATACTGGCTACCTAAAATGGGGTGGCGGAGGGGGATGCTACAAAGGAACAAAATGGTTGGCTTACAAGTTTTCAAGAGAGAGTTTAGTTTCAGAGTGTGATTTGGAAGGTAGAATCATCCCCACTGAATAGTTTTCATCCTGTCTAGACAGGTCTGGTGAAAGGAGATGGGGATGAGATTCTTATGATTCAGTAGTGAGTAATTGTTATCATGATTAATTGTGACTGTCACAACTGTAAAAGTAGAAGTTTTGTAACAAAAAGTGGGGAGTAGTTAATGTTACATTCCAGGAACAGAGAACCTTAGGACCATCAAGGAGAAGAGCACGAGCAGAACATGGGATCCTAACCAGAGAAGCAGCGACACCAGAGATGGAGGCAGAGATGAGGACATGAAGAGATAGAGCAGCTGAGGACTCTAGAGTCATGGAAAGAGAAAGGCTGTGTGTGTTGCTTCCAGCTGGGAGGCAGGCTTGCAGAATGTGCCCTTTGATCATTTTAAATGATTATATATTCCTGAGTGCTTTTGTGTCAAAAACATCAAAAAAAAAAAAACCCAGGGGGAATAGAAGCAAATACTGTTAAATGATGAAGCATAGAGGCGATTGTAATTATTACCATGAAACACAACACGATACGATGAGTGCAAAACCGATGTTCTCCCATGAAAACTATCACTCAATTCACACTAAAAGCTTTTTTAAAAAAGATACAACCTGAAACAAAAAGAAATGGGGATTGCTAGAAAGACAAAACACCTACGCTTCCTTCCAGACGTTGAGATGTCTCCGAGACTGACAGGTTCTCTATCCAATCCTTTCTTCTCCTGCCTGAGCGTTTGCTTACTTTAGGACTTTCACGACCTTTAAGAGTATGTTTTTTAATTAAAAGAGTAAGTGATGATGGTAATAAAGAAAAACCATCCAAAGAAAGACTAAGAATTAAAATCGTTCCCACTTCCCTTCCATTCCCTGGATAAGCAAGCACTGTGAACCACTCTGGTTTCTCTTTCCATTCCCTCCTTCTTCATGCCCAAACATACACAAATACTTATCTCCACATACGAGAAATGGAGCAGGTAACAGCCGGGGTATCAGGTGCAGATTACTCCGACACTTGTTCTTCATGAACATCGATCCCTTCTGGACTGTTCCCCAGGAGCTACGTAGCATTTCAAATATGGATGTTCATAGTTTATTAAAGCATTCCCGTATTATTCTGTTGTGCCAAATTTTCACCATCTTAAGCAATGTTACATTAAACATCAAAGGACACAGACCCTTTATACTAATGCTTTCATTTCTATAAGATCGATTCTCCCAAAAGTGACATGACTAAGTCAAAAGCTTTTAGCATTCAGAGATATTATCAATAGGCATTTCCTTCTCAACAGATTGCAGCAATTCATGCTTACCCACAGTGCACTGCTAGCACTTCCCTGATCCTCACCAGCACTAAATAGTCCCATTCTTGTGAGTTTTTATTGATCTGTTGGTGAAAAACAGTATCACATTATTGTTTTAATTCCCCTAGCTACAAAGACACTGTAAGAAACAAGCCAGAGCACAGTAGTCATTCTAGGAAATGAAAGGAGGTGGGGGAAATTAGAATTGTTAGCTACCGTCATGTGTATGGAAGAGAACTCCTCCATAGGGTTTTTTTATTTCTGTTTATTTAGTTGTGTTCTTTATAGAAGGAGCCGGAGCAGCACAATGGTTATGTGCCTGCTAAATGAAAGGTGGGTAATTTGAACCCACTTAGCTGATCCACAGGAGAAACAACCTGGCATTCTCTTACCAAAAAGATTACATCCAAGAAATCAGGCTGTACAGGGAGGAGTCCAAGCGGTCAATACTGTTATATATACAACAACAGTGATCTACAGGGTAGATACATGAACAGATACACTGGCTAAACAGGTTTGGGAGGGAGAGTGGCCATATACCCACAAGCAAAGGGTTAACAGAGGATACTTGTACCTGGGTATTTACCTTTGCTGCAAACACATCTGTGCCAGTTAAAGTTTTTTGTCAACTTGGTTGAGCCCACAATCTCAGTGGTTTAGCAGTTTAGATGTAGTTATCACCTCTATGATGAGAGAATGAGTTTACTGGAACATTTAGTTGTGCTCATGAGGAACCTGTATATAAACCAAGAGGTAGTTATTTGAACAAAACATGGGAACACCCAATGGTTTAAAATTAGGAAAGGGTGTGCCAAGGTTATAACCTTTCACCATATTTACTCAATCTGTATACTGAATAATCTGTGAAGCTGGATTATATGGAGAAAAATGTGGCATCAGGATTGGAGGAAGACTCATTAACAACCTGTGATATGCAGATGATACAACCTTGCTTGCTGAAAGTGAACAGTACTTAAAATACTTACCGATAAAGATCAAAGACCACTGCCCTCAGTATGAGTTGCACCTCAATGTAAAAAAACAAAAATCCTCAGCATGGGACCAATAAACAGCATTATGATAGATAGAAAAAAGATTGAAATTGTCAAAGACTTCATTTTGCTTAGCTCAACCATCAACACTCATGGAAGCAACAGTCAAGAAATCAAATGTCATATTGCATTGAGCAATTCTGTTGCACAGACCTCTTTAAAGTTGAACAGCAAAGATGTCAGTTTGAAGACTAAGTTGTGTCTGATTCAATAACCTCATATTCATTATGAAAGTTGGACAGTGAATAAGGAAGACCAAAGAAGAATTGATGCAATAGAGTTTTGGAGGAGAATATTGAAAGTACCATGGACTGCCAAAGAATAAACCAGTCTGTGTTGAAAGAAGTACAGCTGATATGCTCCTTAGAAGTCAGGATGGCCAGATTTCATCGCTCAGTTGCTATGGGTCAGTACCAACTTGATGGCACCTAACAACAACAAAACCTCCTAAACTGTGTGAGAATAAAATTTTCTTTGTTGAGGTTATCCACTTGTGGTATTTTCTGTTGTAGCAGCAGCACTAGACAGTATCTATGAATGTGGTGAAGCATACAGGGTTGAACATTAAGAAAACTTCTTAGATGTTATCAAACACCTTGAGAGAATGAGTTGCTGGGCCTAGAGGCTTAGAACCATAGTCTCAAGGGACACTATAGTCAATTGGCAGAACATAATGGCGCTGTGAGTTAACGCGCTGGGCTGCGAAGTCAGTTTGAACGGCAATGTTGGCGGTTCAAGCTCACCAGCCACTCCTCAGAAATCCTATACAGGGTTGCTATGGGTTAGATCTGACTTGACGGTACTTACCAACAACAAGCCACAAAGACAGTGTTCTACATCCTACTTTTGTGAGTGGAGACTGGGATTTTAAAAGCTCATGTGCTGCCATCTAATAAGGTCCAACTATTGGTCTCTCCCTGTGCAGAGGAAAGAGTAAGAGAAATTGAAGACACTTGGAGTCAGTTAGTTCAGTGGACTAACTGAACACGTGAACATCTGTTTCCACAACCCTGAGACCCGGAGAAGTAGACGGTGCCGCTACTACTTCCAACTGTTCTGAAAGGGATCACGTTAGAAAGCACTGGATATAGTGGGAGAAAATATGGAACAAAACTCCAAAGTATAAAAAACACTAGGCTTGCTGGTCAGAAAGAGACTGGAGGAACCCAGAACTAAGACCCTCAGTCACCCTTCAGGTCTGGAACTGAACTCATGCCTGTGGCTCAATTTCCAGCCAGGTAGTAAAAGGGCAGGGGGAACAGCTCACCATGGAATGGTCAGCCATTCGAGATCAAAAAGATAGCATTTACCTAGGGATAAAAATCAGAAGGTTTGAGAAGGTAGATGGAATGGAAACAAAAATCACAAGGAAGTTGGAACTGATGTTACACGGAAGGGATTGCAATCATTGAAATATTGAATGTAAAACTAATGATCTGCTCTGTAAACCTTCACTCAATTCACAAAGTTTTTTTTTAAAGTAAAAGGAGACCATATGACTATTCTACTCTGTCATATGGGGTTGCAGGAGTCATAATCAATCAATAGAATCCATTGACAACAATCAACATGGAGCCACTTCTCCAGGCTTTCCTTCTGCAGAGCCCCTGGGTGAATTGAAAATGTCAACTGTTAGGATAGCAGCCACTCACAAATCACCTGTGCCACCAGGTCTCCTTCCCTAACTGCTAGTGGCACTGAGAATCTTTTCCTATTTGAGTATTCGATGAACTACCTGTTCATTTCCTTTCCCCGTTTTTCCATTGGGTTATTTCCTGTTCTTATCAGACTATAGTTTCTTTTACAAGGAGAACGGGTACCACAGTGGGTTAAGTGCTAGGCTGGTGCTCCGAGGGAGAAAGAGGAGGCTGTCTGCTTCCATCAAGATTTAGTCTCAGAAACCCTGAGTTCTACTCTGACCTGTAGGGTCAGTCCCCGAGTCAGAATCTGCTTGACAGCAGTGGGTTTAGTTTTAGTTTCTTTTACATTCGAGATTTGTACTCTGTATTTTGTGCCTTAGTTCTCCAGTGCTACGAACAGATATACCAGTGGGGAGCTTTAACGAACAGAAATCGATTCCCTCAGTTTAGGAGGCTAGAAGTCTGAATTCAGGGCACCACCTCTAGAAGACTTTCTCTCTGTTGGCTCAGAGGAAGGTCTCTTCGGCTTCTGTTTCCTGGTTCCTTGGAGATCTCCATGTAGCTTGACATCAATCTACCCCCAGTCTCTGCCTGCTTGTTTAATCTCTTTTAGCTCTCAAAAGAGGTTGGCTCAGGGGACTTTGAAAGCTTTTGGAAACATTCCATCATCTTTTAATTCCATTTTTCCAGGAATCTTTGGACACTCCTCCCCTACACCCTACATGAACCCAGCCTCATTAGCATAATAAAATAACCCTTTCTCAAATGGAATTCTAACCCAGGTATTATTGTTAAGTAATCTCTAGTGGGCTTAGATTTACAGTGACCCCAGGGTTTCAGAGGAGCCATGGGCCAGGCATAGAGGTTAGGATTTGCAACACAGATTTCTGGGGGGATACAAACATCATGTGTTATATTTTTTTCTCAGATTATCTTTTGCCTCTTACTTATTTACAGTGGCTGCAAAACTTGTAAAAATTCATTATAATAGTAATATTAATTCATTTATGCTTTTGAAGTTTCCCTGCAAGTCCAAGAGCCCTAGAAGTGTATTAATGTGTAAGAGTCAGACAGGTGCATCCTTGAGCCTGTAATCACTGACATGTTTCATTTCCTAAGTAAGCAATAGTAGGTTTCAGAAAGGTTTGATTGCAAGTAAAATACAACCAGAGATGGCTGAAATGGCTTCCTTGGTCTTCCTGCTATTCTTCCTCAGCCTCCTCACAGTGAGCAGTGACTGAGGCAATTTTCCCACACTGCAGATCTCTAAGGTTTAGAATTGGAAGCACTTCCAGCCCATCGCACATCTGTAAAATTGTCTTGGAAGCCAAATTGGAAAACATGTTTCTCAATACATTTTGTATCAATACAGGCCTCTTACACAAGGTCATGGAGTCCTTACGTGGACTCCGTGCACAAAAATCCTCACCACTGGACCAATAAATAACATCATGATAAATGGAATAAAAGACTGAAGTTGTTAAAGACTTCGTTTTTATTGTATCCAAAATCAACACACATAGAAACTGCAGTCAAGAAATCAAACAATGTACTGCATTAGGCAAATCTGCTATACAACACCTCTTAAAGTGTCCAAAAGCAAAGATGCCAGTTTGAGAAACAAAATGCACCTGACCCAAGCTATGGTATTTTCAATAGCTTCATATGCATGTGAAAGTTGGACAATGAATAAAGGAAGACTGTAGAATTGATGCATATGCATTATGGTCTTGGAGGAGATTAAAAGTTCCATGGACACTAGAAGAACCAACAAATCTGTGTTGGAAGAGTACAGCCAGAATGCTCCTTAAAAGTCAAGATGGCGAGACTTCATCTCTCTGTTGTCTTCATTGTTGTTAATTGCTATCAAGTTGTATCCGACTCATAGTGACCCTGTATGGGGTTTCTAAAGTGGTGGATATAGAACTGCTAACCTTTGGCCAGCAGTCCAGTGCTTCTATCTTACAGTGCAACATGTCATCTTTGCTAACTCAGTATCTATTTAATTATTGAAGACAATAAGTACATATATAATAATAAACATCAATTTGCCTCTTGAAGGATACCTGGAAAGGAATAAAACTTCATGAATCCTTTTTTTTTTTTTAAGACACTATTATCAAAAGCAATTAGTTAACTCATTTGGGTGCTAGCCAAAAGACAGGAGGTTTGAGTCTACCCAAGAGAAACCTTTTTGATGGACTTCCAAAAAACTAGCCATTGAAAATTTTATGTATATTCTGCTATGTATATTCTCACCAACAAAATGAAATCAATTCTATATATGTAAAGCCTTATGGAGCACCATTCTACTTCAACACACCCGTAGTCACCATGAGGTGAAATCAACTCAACAGCAACTGGGGAAAAGAATCACCCTTAAAGTATCTATACCCTGACTCAAGTTTCCCTTATAAAAATGTATACTAAATGTGTATCAGGGAAAAGTGTTTGTCCTTTTGTGACTCTTATTTCACTTAGTGTAAGATGATGTGTATTTTGAAAGTATTCCGGAAAGGGTAATTCATGGTTAGACGTTGGGTTTAGAATCTGCTGTGTACCGTATGCAACTCTAGGACTGTGGCCACTTCCAAACTGACGATTCAGTGCAGAGAACTGAGGCTATTTCCTGTTGTGTTTGCAGGTAAAAAGGGGTCACTATGGAGTTCAAAGGACAGAACTATTACCTGGTGACCGGGACAACCTGGCCATTCAGACTCGTGGTGGACCAGAGAAGCATGAAGTAACTGGCTGGGTGCTGGTGAGTACTAAGAGCTCGCAAGGTCTTCATTCTGAGATTCGTCAGATGTACCCAATAGCTGTTCTTCCCCTCCCTTTGGAATGGCCTTCCCATAGGGCTGAAGCTCCTCTTTCAGCGAGAACTAAAGGTTTTTCCTCCCCATAAGATTTCAAAGCAAAATCCTCACAAGCAACTAAATGACTGTTGATTAATATATCATTATTTTATTTGACCTTTGGTACTCACAGGTACTCATAAATGGTGCTTAGATCTTATGCCCCACACCAAGATTTCCCTCAAACTGCTATGTGCACCTATCCAGCTGTTAACCTATGCAACATGATTAAAAGTTTTAACATTTTCTGAGTCTGAATAGTCCAGACAGACCAAATATGAAAGCCACATCTAAGTGTCTTAGCATGAAAAGTTGCATTATGACTTCTGCTATATCTTAAGAAACTTATAAAATAATGGCCTACTTGAAAATACTGGAAAAATACCAGAAGAGACCAGCAGGAAAGAGCTAAAAATTCTTTCTCTTCATAGGTATCGCCTCTGAGTAAAGACGATGCTGGAGAATACGAGTGCCATGCATCCAATTCCCAAGGACAGGCTTCAGCATCAGCAAAAATTACAGTGGTTGATGCCTTACATGAAATACCAGGGAAAAAAGGTATAATAAATCCCACAGCCATTTAAAAATGACTACTAACACTTTTGCATTTGGAGACCTGGCGTGACGCTGCAGAATAAGCACTAAACTGCTAACTGCAAGTTCAGTGGTTCAAACCTGCCAGCCACTCCTTGGAAACCCTGCACAGGGTTGCTTTGGGTCAGAACCAACTCAACAGCACTTAACAAGAGTGCTTTTGCTTAGAATCGAACCAAGTCTGAAAGTAGCAAGCATAGCAATCCACAGCATTATGAAGTATGCCACTGGACGGAGAAACAGGGCTCCAGGAGAACATTCAGATAGATGATGTAATGCTATTTTTATGACTTAGATGCTTTTACTTTCTCTTACACTTCAGATTCAAAGTGCAAACTTGACTGGAATGGAGTATACTCCCCATAACTATCCATCTATATGGCATCTTCCCTTTATGTTATGACTATTATATTCAATTCCCATTTAAAAGGAAGTGACTTTGAGCAATTCTGGTCCTTCACTCTGGGTTTTTCATAAAGGAAAAAAACCCAGAGCATACTGACAAGTACTCACTTCTGCACTGCCTCCACTTTACTGCTAAAAGCTCCCTCTTACACTCACTTCTTGACAATGTCCTAGCAGTACGACTTTACATTCACATAGTTCTAGTAAACTGGTGTCTGAATTGGTTTTCACTTAACGCAGAATCAGAAGCATTTCTCAGACCATCCCAGTGTGAGGATCACTAAACTGTGGTATGAAAGGAAATGTCGTGTAAAGATGTGTTTGGTAAGATTCTCAGGATGCGTAAAGCCAGATGAAACAAGCAAGATAAAGCAGTAACTGAGAGGCAAGTCACATCTCATCTTGAACAAGCTGGATCTCAACATGGCTGTTGGTGAAAGTGTTCCTCTAGTTTTTATATAGCAAAACTGCTAAAAGACAGAAATGTGACAGAGAAGAAAAACACAAATATTTTCCACTAACCGAGAGTAATAGAAAAGTAGTATGACTGCACCCTGTCAAAGGTGGAAAAATCGCAGGACCTGGAAAAACAAGGCAGTTCCGTCTAGTTCTGGCTCTCACAGGTTTCACTGAAGAATACAGCCCACGTGTTACACATAGTACAGCCGAATGGTCTTCCACATTCCAAATCACAAAGCTCAAATTGTAGAGCACTCTAGCATAGCATCCCTACAGTTACTCAATTATCCATTAACATCACTGGTTTGGGAACAGAAAACCACTTGAAAATTAATAACTCAACCAAGTCCACTGAAGTAACTGATTTTTAACTTTCTCTTTTTAAACAGGTGAAGGTGCTGAGCTGTAAGCCTGCAGAATGTATCATCTACATCACTTAAAGTAGTCATGGGTAACCACAACCCCGTTCTTAATCCAGTCCACTAACACTTTCATTATACTCACTGCTTTTACACAGAAAATTACAAAACAGAGATAACACAAGACTATCTACAAAAATTTACTGTTTATTTACAAAAACAAAGGAAGAAAATCATGCCTAACATAAAAACAAATAAAATGCTTTTTCTCACAATGTAGCAATATTGTTTTTTTTAAATAAAAAGCAACAATGTATCACAGAAATGAGACATATAAGAATTTACAAGTATCTTGCTGAGACTTTTTTTTAAAGAGCTAAACACTCATCATTCTTGGTGCGATGCTCATTGACATGAGTTCCTGAAACAACAGCTTGCATGCATATGGCATCCGAACCAAGGAAATCTGAAAAGAAAGACAAGATGGTCATTAGCAGAGCTGTCCTGAAGGGATCCTACTTCTCTACCTAAAATAGGCTACAGACAGGTTCTGTAGAGAAAGAGTTAATGAGTGGGCTGCTAACACTCATCCTGCCACCTTAACGAATGGTTCTTTCTCTGAACAGTCTTTGGTACTTTACCCTTTCTGCTAGGCGTAAACTTCATTCCTCCTTCTCAAGCGAAAGGTTTAAGGAATACTTGCTGTTTAAAAACTCCTATGTAGGTCTTCGAGGCCTGGTGTGGGGCTGTGGGTTAATGAGCCAGACTGCAATGCCGTTTGAACTACAAGGCCAGCAGTTCAAGCTCACCAGCTGCTCCAATGGAAACCCTAAACAGGGCAGCTAAGGGTCAGAACCGGACTCAGTGGTACTTAACAACAACAACACATAAGTCTTACTGTTTCTAAAAGATCTGAAGACACCCCCCACCCCCCCAAAAAAATCTACAACCATTTGTCACCAGTTGATTCTAGCTCATAGTGACCCTTCTAGAGGGTCACTAGAACTTTCCTCATAAAGTTTCCAAGGTTTACAGAAGTAGAATACCGCATTTTTCTCCTACACAGTGGCTGATAGGTTCAAACTGCCAACCTTTCGGTTACCAGCCAAGTGCGTAACCACTGTGCCACTGGACAGTCTGCTTCCGTGGAGAAGAGAACCGTGGAAAACCCTTGGGGCAGCTCCACTCTTTCCTGTAGGGTCACTAGGAGTCAGAATCAACTCAACAGCAGTGGGTACAAGATGAAGAGCTTAGAGAACGGACCACACTAAAGTTTAAACAGAATTTTCGAATAATCAACTTATTCTGTTCTTTTTCCCTCATGTAAAACTAAGAACCTCTGAGAAGGGTGATCTCAAAATTGTAAAAATGCCATTCTGTTTCACCATACCAAACCTGATGGTCAGGCCAACATAGTCGGAGCCTAAAGAAGTACCAACTGCCAGTGAGGGCCACACACACCTGGGTTTTATTGCGACAGCCCCTGCATTCATACGTGTGGGTCCTGGTGTTAGCGATGGCCATTATTCCACAGAGATTGCAAACATGAACCTGATACGGATCTGATGCCTCAAACAACCGTTCTCGTAAAAACTGGGCTGCTCCATGGGCAATCTGACAATCTCTTTCCATTTCTCCAAAACGCAGGCCACCATCACTGTTAAGGGAAAAAACAGATTATTTGGCGATTATTGTCTATTATAAAAATCACCTGAACTAAACGCATAGGTTAAGCTCATACTAGTCAAGAAGAATTAGATGGTTAGGAACACCAAGGTTAACTGGCATAACATAGTTCACAAAGACAGTGTTATACATCTTACTTTGGTGAGTTGTAACTGGTGTCTTAAAAGCTTGTGAGTTACCACCTAAGGAGTGCATCTATAGGTCTCTCCTTGTCTGGAGTGAAGAACACTGAAGAAAATCAAAGCTGCATGGCAACAGTTAGTCTAATGGACTAATGGATCACATGAGCATCAATGATGCCCAGATACCATGACCAACTGCTTCGAGAGGGATCGGATAGAGTGGGATAAAAATGTGGATGATAACATCTTAATTTAATAAAAGCCAGGCTTACTGGTTGGAGGGAGACTGTTAGAAACCCCAAGACTATGGTCCTTAGACACCCTTCAGGTCTAGAACTGAACTCACCCCCATGAATCAACTTTCTGCCAAAAAATAGAGGAACAAGAACACTACGAGGTACATGCTCAGAATAAGCAATCATTTGAGACCAAAAGTACAGCAATTACCCACAGATAATTTCCAGAAGAGGAATGGAAATGGTAAATGGAGAGGTAGTGGGGTAAGTGAAGTCATATTGTGGAGGTTGCAGTTAATGACATAAAACAAAAACTCTACCAACTATTCACTGGAGAACTGATGTGCTTGTAAATCTTCATCCAATTCACAATAAAGAGTTTTTAAAAATGGGTGGAAAGATAATCAGGATCTAATTTTTATACCCTAGCATCCTATACATAGTGAGGAGGAATGAAGTTTAACAACTAACTAAAGTGCATTGAAGTCCTGGTGTGGTGCTGTGGGCTAATGCGTCAGACTGCAAATTCACCTGAACTGCAAGGTTGGTGGTTCAAGCTCACCAGCTGCTCTTTGGAAACCCTATACAAAGTCGCTATGCATCACAATCAACTTAACAGCACGTAACAACAACAAAGTGCATTAGAAGATCCTCATATGCAACAGAATCTCAATTATAACATATAATTTTTCTCATAAAAAACAATTTAGTGCAGAGTAGAGGCTCATTATGCTAGTATTTAGCTTACTAGAATTCAACTCTACACTTAAAATGAATAATCAATCAACCCATCTACATAGAGCAACAACTCCTGAAAGGAATCATGTTAGAAGACGCTGAGTAGTGGGGGGAAAATGGAACAAAACTCAAAATCATAAAAAACAAAGTTTACTGGTCAGATAGACTGGGGGTACCCGAAGACTACTGCCCTTAGTCCACCCTTAAAGTGTGGAGCTGAACTTACCCTCATGGCACAATTCTCAGCAAGCAACAGATGGATCTACATGGGGAACAGCAACACTAGTCAGGTATGCACACCATAGGATGGTTAACCATTTGGGATCAAATGGGCAACATTTGCCCAAAGATTAGACGGGTTGAGAAAGAAGAATAAATAGAAGCAAAAAACACTGGAAGAGGGGCTACAACGTGCCCAGTGAAGGAGGCTTCCTGTGGAGCCTCTGCATTACATAAGACCATCAGTGGAATCCTGAACCCCATCCAGAATCTTCAGAGGTGGGAAATTCCCACTTGAAAAGACAAACAGACCAGCCTGGAGCAGCTAGAAGAACAGAAGATACTTCTTGAAAGAAAGACTGACAGGAAAAGTACAAAACAATATAGGCAGACCAACTGATTACTACAAGAACAAGCAAGTTGCTCGCCCAGGAGACATCAAGGCAAGTGGTCAGGTCCCCGCAGCGCAAACCCGCTTCCAAGACTAAGACTCAATGGGAATATATGCTCTGATTGGTGACCACGTTTGTCACTGATAATGGCAAGTGAGGGAAAAACAGCAATGAAGCTGCAAGCTAAGCCCTATAACGTTCAATAGACTCCTGTGAACCCGGCTGGAGACCTGGTTGGCCAGCAGTGTGGCAAGACCTGGGGACTCTTGGGCCCAGAGTCAGTGACACAGCCACAGAGGACTAGAGTGGAGAGTGAAGTGTGTAGCTGATAAGAAGAGAGGGCATATGCACAAGAACACCCACACTTGCAGGTAATACCCACTTGACCTGGATGATCAGAACTCAAGTAGAATAAAGAAGAAGAAAAGAAGAGTAATCTGATACAATTTGATGAACTTGACCTACACCTATGGATGCAGTAGCTCAAAAGACGGAACATATCTTTACAGCAAGGATCACTGCCACCCCCCCTCCATATAGACAGGGATTGGCAACTTGGACATTGGCTACCCAAAATGGGGCGGGGCTACAAAGGCAAGAAGTGACTGGCTTACAAGCTTTCAAGAGGGAACCTAGATCCAGAGGGCAGGGAGGAAGGTAGAATCTCCACTGAGGAGTATCCAATATGACTAGGCAGGGCTGATGAAATGAAATGCAGATAGGTCTTTTGTGATACAATAGTGAATAACTGTTATCAGGACTGATAGTGAGGGATGGAAATGAAAGGTAGACGTTTTTGTAGGAAGGAGGGGAGTGATTAACTTTTCTGTCTAGGAGCGGAGGTACCTGGGACCATCAAGGGAGAAGAGCAGAGAGCAGGACCCTACCCAGAGAAACAGTGATGCCTGAGATGGAGACAGAGATGATGACGTGGAGAGATGGAGCAGCTGAGGACTTCAGACCCAGAGAGGGAGAGGGGCTGTGTGCTGATGACCAGGGGGCAGGTTTGCAGGGTATACCCTTTGGTTGGTTGATGATGCATGGAGGGGACTGTAACCATGGCAATGAAACGATATAATGTTCTCCCATGTAAACGATCACATTATTCACAATAAAACATTAATAATATATATACATTCATTATAAAAATGCTAGAGAGTTTTTGTATGGATTAAATTAAATAATTGGATTTTTTTTTTTTTTTTTTTTTTTTTAATGTTGACAACAGCCTAAATGCCCATCAATGGAAGATAAAACAAACTTTGGTACATACACACAATAGAATACTATGCAACACTGAAGAATAGCCATGAATCTGCAAAACACCTCACAACATAGATGAACCTGGAGGATATTATGCTGTGTAAAATCAGACAACCACAAATGAACAAATATTATATGAGTTCATTATATCAGTTCTGACTCACAGCAACCCTGTATAGGGTTTCCAAGGAGTAGCTGGTGAGTTTGAACCACCAACCTTGTGGTTCACAGTCCAGTGCTTATCCTATAGCACCGCATGAGTATACAGAGGGCAAAACAACTAAAATGTCTTAGATATTATCAAACATCTTAAGGTAACGAGTTGCTGGGCTTGGGGACTCAGAACTACAGTCTCAGGGAATTATGGTCAATTGGCATAACATAGTCCACAAAGACAATGTTCTATATACATCCTACTTTGAGGAGTAGCATCTGGGATCTTAAAAGCTCACGAGCAGCCATCTAAGGTACAGCTAGCTATTGGTCTCTCCATGTGCAGAAGAAAAAAGAATGAAGAGAACTGAAGACGCTTCTAATCCATTAGTTCAATGGAACATCAGTGTCCATGACTGAGACTAGAAAAACTAGATGGTGCCTGGCTTCCACTATCAACTGCTCTAAAAGGGATCACATTAGAAGGACCTGGATAGAGTAGGAGACACTGTGGAACAAATCTCAAAATTATAAATGTAAAAAACAAAAACAAAAAACACTGGGCCTACTAGTCAGAAAAAGACTGAAAGAACCTGAGACTACGGCCCTCAACCATCCTTCAAGTCTAGAAAGAACTCATCCTCGTGGCCCAATTCTCAGCCAAGCAGTAAATAGGTATCTAGAGGAGAAAACAACACTAGTAAGGTATGCTCACCATGGAAGGGGTCAGTCATTCAAAACCAAAAGGGCCACATTTACCTAAAGACAAAGTTGAGAAGGGATGGAAAGGAGGGTGGAATGGAAACAGGAATCATAGGGAGGAAGTGAGATCATTGTTGCTACATGGAGGGGATTGCAATCATTGAAACTTAACAAAATGCATGGTTTAATGTAAAACTGATGATCTTGCCTGAAAACTATCATTCAATTTACAACAAAAAGTTAAAAAAAAAAAAAAACCACATGCTAATTTATGTTATTATACAATAGATTTACTTGTGTTATTTCATAATAGTCGAAATTTTCTGTTTTAATTTTTAACATGATAAATACCAATAAGTCACATAAACAAAAGCTCTTTGGGGCCCTGAGATCAAAAAATTTGAGAACTTCTCATTTATAAATATATACTGAAATACTTACAGAAGTACACGATGTCTGGGCTTTGCTTTAAAATAACCTGAGGTCATCGAGAGGGAGGAGATAGGTAAAGCCAAGTCATTATACCATACTCTATTTTGTATGTGTTTGACATTTTCCATAATGAAAGGCTAAATGATGATGCAACTCTTACCGAGATCGACCTTCCATGGGCTGTCTATTAAGGATCTGAATAGGGCCTCTAGCACGAGAATGAATTTTATCATCCACCATATGCTTCAAACGCTGGTAATAAGTGGGGCCAATAAAAATTTGTGATGTGATTTTTCGACCAGTGAACCCATTGTACAGGACCTAAAACAGACACAAGTCTTAAAACCACAGCTTCAAAAATAGAAAGCAAGTTCAAAGATACGTGTAAAGACGGTATGATTCCATTTACAAAATAACCTCAACAGGCACACTCACTTACAGTGTCAGAAGTCAAGGTAGTGATTGCTGAGAGAGATTGCTAAGGAGAAGGGGCCACATTACAAGGCTCCAGGTCTACAGAGTTCTGGTCATTACTTTCTGGAGCTGGGTACCAGTCACACAAATATGCTCACTTTATGAAGAAGCATCCAACTTTTTATACATATATTGGGAGAAAGATAAGGCTTTCTGCTCTCGTAAAGATTTAATGCTTCAGAAGGCCTACATCGGGCCATGAGTCGAAAGCAACTTGATGGCAATTAACAGCAACAACATATAAGATCTGCACACATATATGAAGTATGTGTTATATACTTCAATAAAAAGTTACATTTATTTTTTAATGAAACTACAAACACATAAAAAACACAACAAATTAATAACGCAAGCACAAAGGCACCTCATTTCCTCGGAGATGGTAACCATACTCAGACAAAAGGTTAGAGATCTTCTGCACGTTCACCGCATCATTAAATGGAGTAGCGTCACCAATTTCACCCTTGTTAGCTGATACCTGTAACAAACAAAACTGTCCTTAAAATAGTGCTTTTTATCTCTCTTAAGCAGTCATATATCAATACAATTATATTCAACGGAAAAAAAAAAAAAAAAAAAAGTCCTTTCTATAAAAGGCAAGATTTTGAACTTGAAATCCATATATGGAAAGCTATGTAGCCTTACAGTTCATTTTATTAATATCTTACAGAAAATATTTATAACAAACTAATTTACTTAGAAAGAAAAGCAAGTCAATTATAATAAGCTTTCAAATGTGAAGCTGTAAATGGGACCAGGCACAAAAAGAGTAGTAAGTCTTCCAAATACTTCCAACAATTCACAGAAAATAACATTTTAACACCCTAAAAAACAAGTCATACAGGTTTTAGGTGGTAGTCATTCTAGTTTAACAAGATATTTAAAAACACTGAAAAATGCATATATAGGTGATAAAGTAATGTTCACAATGAACTGCCAATGAATTATTTCATCTAAGAGAAGAACTATTCAAAAGGATAACCATATATACGTATAGAGAGACTAGATGTCGTAAAATCTCAAACTATGATTTAGCCATAACATTACAATTTTCTAAAATAAAAGTCATAATCCTAACTAATTTGAAAGTATGGAAATTAATAAAAATCACACTTTTTCCAAAGTACCCAGGCTCAAAAATAAGATAAATCACCTATCATCTATTTTAAAGAAACACCAATTTGGAGCATGTATTTTTGAAGACAATCTCTTACCTTCCCTTGAAGACATTCAATCAAGTGACCAATAGTCATACGAGAAGGGATAGCATGGGGATTTATGATAATATCAGGGGTGATGCCTTCACAGGTAAAAGGCATATCCTGTAAGGAAAATCGTAGTAAGAAACAGAGAAATTTTAAGATTTCTGACTCTTAGCTGTGAAACCAAAAAACTAGAGCTGATCTCAAACTGAACTTTTGTATATTCTGAACTCTGCTCAGCATGGTATGTACATCTTGTAGCTATTCCAACCCTGAAGTCCTCATGTGGCACTGTAAGATAAGCACTAGACCGCAGATCGGTCTGAACTTCAAGACTGGTGGAATTCTACTCCTCAGAAACCCTATACAAGGTTTCTCTAAGTCAGAACTGACTTGAAGGCACTTAACAACAACAATACAGTTTAAAAGTCAAGCCTTTACCACCCTTGGAATCTTAAGTTAAAACAAACTTATTTAATAAAATGTTCAACAAAACTTTGAAATAACAATGAAGATGAAAAGACACCTACCTCTTGTCTATACTGAATACCACAAGTACCCTTTTGACCATGTCGACTAGCAAATTTGTCTCCAATTTGTGGAATTCTAACAGAGCGTACCTAAAGTCATATAAAAATAGATTAGCTGAAGTCTATGTGATTTACTACCTATAATTAGCCATGTGAACAAAACTATACTCACTCTTATTTTACAAAATTTATATCCTTCCTGGTTGAGAGTTACCATCACTTGGTCCACAATACCCGTCTCACTAGTTCTGAGGAAAGTGCTGCAGTCTCTCTTGGTATAGCGTCTATTAGTGCTCTCCAATTCATCTTCATTTTCAGGCAAGGTGACTGTTTTACCTATGATAACATCATCTCCTGATACACGAACCCCAGGAGCTATCAGACCATCATCATCTAGCTTGTCATAAATGGCATGCCGCATACCTACAAGGAAACACACAAGGAATTTTCTGAAATGGTATTACCATCTACAAAGATTCAAACCACAGTCATGAATCTGTCCCAAGTCACAGACAAGTCACAGGAATCTTTAACATTGCAAACACTGCTAGTTGACAATGTAAATCCCCTTATTCCAAAGACCATAACTACTCTGAATACTGTAGTACCAACCAGTGTGATGCTATAGGATCTGCACTGGACTGCTAACCACAAAGTTGGCAGTTCAAAACCACGAGCTGATCCTTGGAAACCCTAAGCAGCATTTGCTGTTAAGTCAGAACTGACTCGACAGCACTTAAAAACAACATAAAGAAGAATCGTTGGATTGAGTGTTAGATATCTAGGTTCTCCAGTAACAGACACTGCTTGGTGACTTTGGACAGTGTGCTACCAGCTTCTGATCTCTATACTGCATGAAAAGAGTATGTCCTTTGCACAAATCCATCCAAAGGAAAGCTAAATTTCCCATTATCTTAATTCCACTGGATATCAATCTTAATTACTACACAAAACCACCCACTAACAATGGAGCAACAGGAAAATGCCTAAGGAAAAAGAATACATTTTACTTCATACAAGACTATTTAGAGGCATATTTGCAGCACAGATACCCCACATTCTAGGAACATACTATCCACCCCACTCTATACATATTTAAGTGTCTGTGAAAATAAAAACTAGAAAGCAAAATAAGTGTATTTTCCAGAAGAAAAAGAAACATTATAGCCAAACAATTATTACAATCACATCACATACCAAGAAATCAATTGGGATGGGTGGAGGGACCAAAGAGGTCCCATACAAAGGTATAAGCTGAGGGACACAGCACAAGTGAGAATGACGCTCTGGCAGGTGTCTGATAAAATTATGGAACCTCTCTGGTTTCCTAAATATCCTACTCAATGAAGGACCTACTCAGAGGAAAGGGCTACAGCAACCCTCCTCCCCCGCACCCCCACAAATACAAATGCTTCCAACAAATACATATATATATACACATGTTGTTGTTACAGGTCATTGCATTGGTTACAATAGCAACCCTCTATAGGGTTTCCAGAGTCCTGCTTCAGTAACCATCACAATCTTAGAAACCCACTAGGGCAGTTCTACTCTGTCCTAGATCACTCACTATGAGTCAAATTCCACTCAATGGCTTGGATTTTTTTGATTAAGAATGATATGAAAACATACCCAACAGAGAAGAAAAAGAAAAAAGTATAACAAAGCCCAGCAAAAAAGTAAGAAAGCCATATAACATCATCTTTGATTTCCATAATTTAAATGTTAGTATCACTTACCCTGGCATGTTTCAGAACTAGGTTTCTCAAAAACTTCTTCTTGATCAAATCCTTTTTTAGACTCCTGTTCTTTGTAAGACCGGTAGAAAACAGACCTAAAAACACATGGTTCTAAAGATAATTTCTGTTTTCCTTTCATAAAAGAACTAAGAATATATCAATAATAATCATTTCACTGATATCTGGGAGACAATTTAAACCACAAGTCTGATACAAGGGTAACGATTAAGGATCAAAATTAATCCTAAATGCTATCACGTCAGCTACATACATGAGTGTTTGACCCATAATCTTGATAGAGGCTGGAATTACCCTAGTCCCTTTTGTAATAACCCCAGTATCTGCTTGAATTGTCCATTGCCAGTTTTTGATACTAAACTGCAAGCTCTACCCTTTGGATCCTAGAGCTGTCCTCTGACACTTCACAGGAAAGGAAAACAAAATCCATTTTGTTTTTTTAAACCCTTCTTCATATCCCAAAAATTTGAGATATGTTTGTCAATATTACACTAAAACTGAAGAACAGAAGAGAGTGTAAAAGGAAAACACTGCATAAATTTTATTAGTAGTTGTTATAAATCGGGCTATGAACCTTAAGGTCAGCAGTTTAAAACTACCAGCTGTCCCGCGGGAGAAAGATGAGGCTTTCTGCTCCCATAAATATTTACAGCCTCAGAAACCCTGTACAGGGTTCGCTACATGTTGGAATCAACTCGACAGCACTTAACAACAACAACAACATTATGGGTTCTAACATCATGGGAGTCCTGATGTGCTGCTACAGGTTAATGCACCAGATTACAAGGTCAATTTGAACCACAAGATCGGCGGTTCACGCTCACCAGCCACTCCTTGGAAACCATACACAGGGTCACTATGAGTTGGAAGACGGCACTTTTAATAAGTTCAAGGCTGTAATTTCATTTCTTCTTTAGATGTTTTTATATTATTTAAATGCAAACATGTATTTGCTTACAAAACACACAAAAAAGTGATCAAAACATTAGCCTCTGAAAAATCCTAAAATGCAAAAAACAGTGTTTCCAATTGTTTCTAGCGGTCTACCCTGGCTACTGCTTTCTGACCCAGGGCTTGATTTCATCACATCACACTCTATGTGGCATCCACACAACACAACAGCCACAGAGCTTCAAGAATGGAGGTAAATGAAATATCTAGGAATAAATGTAACCAGAGAAACAAAGGACTTATACAAAGAAAACTACAAAACACTACTACAAGAAACCAAAAGAGACTTACAAAAATGGAAAAATGGAGAGGGAGAGGGGTTGTGTGCTGATGACCGGGGGTGGGGTGGGATGGGGTGGGATGGGGTGGGGGTGGGGGTGGGGGTGGAGGACAGAGTTGCAGGGTATACCCTTTGGTTGGTTGATGATGCATGGAGGGGATTGTAACCATGGCAATGAAACGATATAGGACAGGATGAATGTAAAACTAATGTTCTCACATGTAAACTATCACATAATTCACAATAAAACATTAAAAATAAATATATTAATTAATTTAAAAAAAGAATGGAGGTGAAAGAATAAGTATTTGCTTTTTGATCAAAATGTCTTCTAGTCTGATATTTACGACCACTACAAAGTTTAAATACATACAAGTCAAACTCAATGCTAAAATAAAGAACTTTTTTTCTTGATCAAAAAAAGTTTGCCACTGTATGTATCCATGTTTTGACAAATTTCATTTAATAAACTAACCTGAAAAAGCCCCGGTCTACAGCTGAGCGATTCATGATAACAGAGTCTTCTTGATTATATCCAGTATATGATGCAATGGCCACAATTGAGTTGATACCTGAAGTGAATTTAAGAACGCACATTAAACTATCATCTGGAAAACAAATAAAAACTGCCCCTTCCTTTTAACCCAATTGCACTTCCTTATATGTGTTACAGATACTTGTCTTTTTTATCATGGTAACTGGCTACTCCCTCAGACAATTACTCAGCTGGCTAAATGCTTAATACAAACAAATCTTATGATTAACCATTCCCAATGAATTCATTCATTCTTACAATCAGTGATTATTCACGTAACTCATATTTATAAAGTGCCTCGCCAAACCAAGTTTCATGATCCTCACAGCAATCCTGTGCCATAAACAAGCTAGGCATTATTATTCTTACAAATCAGAGAGAACTAAATCTATCCATGATCCCAAAACTAGTAAGTGAAAACATCAAGCTCCAGCTCCTAGTCTCCTGGCTTTCTTTATGTTTGAACCTGGTACTCCCCCTTTTCCTCCTCCCAATTCTGCTTTGGTCCCAGGTGGTAACTTTATCCAAAGAGTCCGGGAAAGTCTGAGATCACAAGCTACACATAGCGAAAAACAAAAAGCTTTACAAAGATGTTTCTAATTGTTTTTCCTTCACTTAGAAGCCCAAACTCAAGAAGGAATATAGTGAAGAGGAAAGAACACAAGAAAAAAAGATGAGAAGAAAAAAAATCCTACTTCTAGTAAAAAGGAGCAAAGAATGTAAGAACATAAGCTTTGAAATTAGACTAGAGTTTAAAATTTGGCTTCACATATTTCTCATTGTGTACCCATGGGCAAGTAGCTTTACCTTTCTTATTGTGTTTCCACATCGGCAAAATGGAGATAACAACCCACCACTATTACTAATCAGTTTATATTTACTCTGTCATTATTAAACAATGGGCACCATGTCATAAGCTTTAACAGAATTTAAGCAATCACCATAACACTTTTATAAAATAGGTACTATTATAGTTCTCATTTTGTAAGTGAAAAAACATCACAAAATTATCATAATCTTAGAGATAACAGTAAAAGCACTTTGGACAGTGTTGTTTGCACAGATGAATACTCAATAATGAGCATTAACAACTTTGTTAAAAATACCTGTGGGCTCAAGGCCAACCACATCCCCTGCCATCAGGTAAATTCTGACTCAGAGGGACTCTGCAGGGCAGAGTAGAATTGCCCCATAAGGTGTTCAAGGCTGGGAACTTTACGGAAACAGATGGCTACATCTTTCTCCTGCAGAGAGCTAGTGGATTCAAACCAATAATATTTCAGTTAACCGTCGAGCACTTAACCACTGCACCACCAGGGCTCCTTCAAGGGCCATAAATGTGAAATATAGGAAGGCTTCAAAAAGTTTGCAGAAAAATGAAATTGAGCATAATAGAATTTTTCCATGGACTTTTTGAAGCCCCCTCACACAAGATTATAGCTCACCTGTCAGCCAAGTTCCGGAATACCTATTAGAATTTCTTTGCGCCACTTTTGCTTCATGTGCTTTGAGGCCTCAGGCTCAGCACTAAAGAGGCTCTAAAGTCCCTTGACCCATTTTTTAGGTCAAAGTTAACTTTTACCACAATACACACTGCTCACGAGGATTTATTGACCATAGTCCAACCTGGTGTTGTGCGGTGGGTTAATGCACTGGACTGCAAAGTTGGCTTGAACTGCAAGATCAACCAGTCAAGCTCACCAGGTACTCCTCAGAAACTAATGAACATATTTCATCAGGGGTCAGAATTAACTCTACGGCACTTAGCAACAACAACAGCACTAACAGAAACAGGATTTAAACCAACCAAAAAAGCACTCCTTACAACAATCTGATTGGTCTTTTCTCTTGGGTCTTAGAATGAGACACGCTGGCATGTTTGACAAAGTCAGGATCAAGAATTCAAACAGAATGGCCAAGAGATCGGTCACATCAGTAGACTGACTGCATGTTGGCCTATGTACAGGTTCCTCAGGAGCACAATTTGTTCTGCAATTTCCAGTCTTCACAGTGCAATCCATAGTTTGTTGTGTTCCACACAGTCAAAATCCTTTAGTCAATAATGCACAAGCATGTTTTTTGTATTCTCTGCTTTCTGGCAAGATTCATCTGACATTAGCAGTGCTTTTCCTCTTTCTATATCCTGTTCTGAATCAGGACTGAATTTCTGGCAGCTTGCTGTTGATGTACTGCTACAATAACTTTTAAATTATCTTCAGTACTTACACAGTTGTTGTTAAGTGCTGTCAAGTCAGTTCTGATTCATAGCAACCTTATGCACAAGAGTGAAACAATGTCTGCTCCTGAGCCATCTTCACAACTGGTGTTAGGTTTGAGCCTATTTTTGCTGCCACTGTTTCAATCCATCTTGTTGAGAGTATTCCTGTTTCTCACTGACCCTACACTTTACCAAGCATGATGTCCTTCTCCAAAGACTGGTACCTTCTTATAACATGTCTGATGTATGAAAAGGCAAAGTCTCTCTATCCTGACTTTGAGGAGCATTCTGGCTGTACTTCTTCCATTTATTTACACTGTAGTCATATTAACAGAGTCCTGGTGTGGTGCTGTGAGTTAATGCGCCAGACTGCAAAGCCATTTGAACTACAGGCTCGGTGGTTCAAGCTCACCAGTCAGTCGCTCCTTGGAAGCCCTATGCAGGGTTGCTATGCGTCGGAATCCATTCGATGGCACTTAACAACAATAAGTCATATTAATAACTATTGGCTGTTCCTAAAATAGATCTCATAACTTCCTGCTTTTATGGCCTTGCTCAAACCACCTCTCAGATGCAAATACCCTCTCCCTGACTTCACTCCAGTTTAAAATGGCACTTCTTGAATGGAAATACCTCTAGACTTCCCACAAGAATCTATCTTTCCTTCACTCTGCACTTCCAGAGAACTTATACCTCCATAATAAAATTTTCACATGCCCATCTTTTTGTTTGTGTCAGGTTTCCCACACTATAAATTCCTTAACCATAGGGGCTCTATCTTATGCATTTTTTTAACCTTTACAACACCCAAAAAAGTCTCTAAAGCATGTCAGGATTTTAAAAACTGCTGCACAACACTGAACATACCTGCTGGCAGCTCTCTGAATCGTAAATATTCCATAGACCGCGTGGTCACAAGTGGTTTTTGAGGATAATAGAGAACGTGGGCCAGTGTGTCCATTCGAACATGGAAGTTGGTGATATAGACTCCCATAGCCTGCTTACCCATAGCAGACTGGTATGTGTTCCTAGGAGACTAAAGGCAGAAATGAAAAGAGCAACCAATGTAAATTTAACTACCCCCAAAGAAAAGACTCCAGGATATTATAATAAACAGAAGTGTAACATAAAGTGATCATGTGAAATAATCAATTACAGCTTAAGAACAAAACTCAACAATATGTACGTCAAATGCTGATTCTGTACGTGTAAACAGCCCTATCTCATCATTAAAAGACTTTTCTCTTGGCAAGAAATTACTGATAACTCTGATTTTTATTTATCTCCCCAAAATTCCTCACAAATCAAATCAAAACAGTGCTACGAACCTGGTTATGATCAGGAAAGGGAATAATAGATGCACAGACACCAAGAATCATTGAAGGATGAATCTCACAATGTGTGTATGTGGAACAATAAGCTACTTCCTTCTCCTGTAAATCATCTGGCGTCATTGCAAGCATCACTGTCTCTTCTTCAAGGGTATCAATATATTCTACTACCCCACTGGCCACAAGATCCTGCCAACTGGAAAAAAAAGGATTGATTGCAGTCCCACATTTCCTGATTAACTACCTCAGCCTCCTAACTAATAGACTAGTCTTAACATGGATCCCCGATGGCACTATGAGATAAACATTGGGCTGCTACCTGCGATGTCAGCAGTTCAAACCCACCAGATGCTCTACTGGAGACAGATGAGGCTCTCTGCTCCTGTAAAACTTTACAGTCTCAGAAACCTTCTCTAAAGGGTCTTTATCAGTAGGAATTGACTCAATGGCATGGATTTAGTTTGGTTTTAGTCTTATATCTCTAGCACTGATATGGAAAGAGTTCCAAAATAGGTATATTACTGCTAATACTGGAAAAAGGAAGTTGCTGAATAATAAATATGAAGTATGGTCTCATAACAACTATTATTTTTGATTTAAAAAAAACTGTGTGTGATGGGTGAGTATATAACTATATAGAACAAAGTCTGGAAAATTATATGTCAAACTGTTAATAGTACTTACTTCTGAAGAGGCTAGTATGAATTGGTGGCTTTTACATATTCCTATTATATAATATAAGGAACTCTGGTAGCGTAGTGGTTACGAATCGGGCTGCGAACCTTAAGGTCAGCAGTTCGAAACTACCAGTTGCTCCGCGGGAGAAAGATGAGGCTTTCTACTCCCATAAAGATTTACACCCTTGGAAACCCTGTACAGGGTTGCTATGGGTTGGAACCGACTCAACGGCACTTAACAACAATAACAATTATATAATATACTGCTTGAGATGTTTTATAGTAAGAATGTACACATCCATATATTTCTAAAAATAAGATTAAGTAGTTCATTTTTTTACTAATTTCTTACTAGATTTTAAAAATCACCAAGACTTTTCATAACAAAACCCTACAAATCTCTTGATTGATAACAAAAATCAAGGTAAACAAGCACAAGTGCTAATGGATAGTTTCATTTAGGGATGATGAAAATGTTCTAGAATTACAGACAGTGGTGATGCAGCACAGCCTTGTTAGTGTAGTAACTACCACCGCAGGGAACACTCTCTAAAGGTATGAATTTTATGGTAGGTGAATTTGATCTCTTCTTTTTTAATGACCATATTTTTCTCACTCATGTTCTTACCTGTAGTTGTTGTATTCTCTCTCTTTCAATTGATCAATATGTCTCTTCTTCAAAAGCAGCTTTTGTTTTTCCACAATCAGAAGTGGTCTACAAATACGGCCTGCATCTGTATAGATACGAATCTCCCTTTCTCGAATATCTCTGATCATAGAAACCTACACATAAAAAGATAAGACAGTCTCATAAACTTTTATTTTCTCCATACCATTAAGGCTTAGTTAGAAATATAATAAAATTACTGATAAGTTTCTGGAGCAAACGGTTCTCATATAAGATGGACAAATCTTATCATTTGTCACTGTTCAACACACTAGAAACTTAGTTGCAATTTAAAATTTTCATAAAGGAAAAGTTCTAAAGTTAAGCAACAACTCGTTAATAATGTCATACAAGTGAATGTGAAATAAGGAAAGTAAGTTTTTTGATTAACGGAAACAATAGTTCATAATAATTTCTTATTTTGGTTCTTTGCTAATTATCTATACTTCACCTTGTAATCTTTCAGTAATCAAGCCCTGTTCAGCTTTGCCTTGACCATATTTTGCCAGTTTTAAAGCCTGACTTCTCACAATTACCTATCAGACCAAAATGGCTTGTAATTTGGCTCTCCAGTAGACACTAGCCAACTACATGTGACCACTGAGTATTTAAAATGTCTGATGAGATGTGCTTTAAATGTAAAATATACACTAAATTTCAAAGATAGTACCCAAAAAGATTACCTAGCTCATTAATATATTGGTTATTTAAAGTTATATTTTTTAATATCTCAGAGTAAATAAAATACATCAATAAAATTATTTCTATTTATTTTTACTTCTTTAATGTAGCTACTATAAAAAATTTGAGTTGCACATATGGCACATATTATATTTCTGCTGGACAGTGCTGGTCTAGAATACACAGTATTTCTAGAATATATTATCAAATACATTTTGGGAACTTTTACAATAAAGAACATAAGAATTAGTCAAAGCTCGTTAGAATTTTAAGTACCTAAGATGCTCTGGAAGGAGCTCTGATAGCATAGTGGTTATGAATTGGGCTGCGAACTGCCAAGGTCAGCAGTTCAAAACTACCAGCTGTTCCGTGGGAGAAAGATGAGGCTTTCTGTTCCCATAAAGATTGACAGTCTCAGAAACCCTGTACAGGGTCGCTATGAGTCGGAACCAACTCCACAGCACACAGCCACCACCAAGATGCTCTGGTAGCATAGTGGTTACAAATCGGGCTGCGAACCTCAAGGTCAGCAGTTAGAAACTACCAGCAGTTCTGCGGGAGAAAGATGAAATTTTCTGCTCCTGTAAGCCTTGGAAACCAACCGATTCCACGGCACATAACATCAATATATAAAGGCAGAATCCTGGTGTGGCACTATAGGATAAGCACAAGACTGTAAGGTCGACGGTTCAAAGTCACGAGCTGCTCCTCAGAAATCCTATACAGGAACAGTTATATAAAGGAGTCAGGGTGTGGCGTTACAGGGTAAGCACTGGGCTGAACATTTGGTTTGAACTATAAGGTTGGTGGTGCAAACCCACCAGCTGATCCTCAGAATGCATACACACAGGGTTACTATGAATTGGAACAAACTCAGTGGCACTACACAACAGCAAATACTGAGAAGTAAGATGAAAAGGAAATAAGAATGTACTTTCAATTATCTGGATCCAATATACGGTTCTGTTTCTCTTAAATAGCATTTGATTGTGTTTTTACTGAAAATTTACATAGTAAATCTGATTCCCATTTGACAATTTCTGCACAAATTGTTCAGCGTTACTAGTTACATTCTCCACAACGTATAAACATTCTCTTTAAGTGCATCCTGTTTGTTTTGATACAATAAAGGGGGGAGAACTACAACAAGTTAATGAAAAAATTCGTTGTCTTCGTACTTGATTTTCCCACAAAACTTTTGGACGCTCCTTTATATATGATCTTGTAAGTCAACCAATAAATGAACTACCAGTGAGTGAGAAAACTGAAAGATAGGTTGGTATTGCCCTAAGAGTACTTTTGAAAAAACTGATAAATGACTTAAAATCATATGAGTACTTTTATTTAAGAAAGGATTGGGATTACTTAAGAAAGGAGAGGATTCTGACCACTTGATTTTAAAACAACAGCAAACACAAAAACCTAATAAAAAGCCACCAGTTCTCCAATATTAAAGAGTCAATAGCTAAGAACAGAAAATGTTCCAAGTTCCTGGTCTACTTCCTTTCCCTAGAAAACCATCTCAGAAGCACTGCCTATGAAGAAAAAATGTCATAAACGGTGTTGTTGTTAAGTGCCGTGGAGTCGGTTCCGACTCATAGCAACCCTGTACAGGGTTTCTGAGGCTGTAAATCTTTACAGGAGCAGAAAACCTCATCTTTCTCCTGCGGAGCCGCTGGTAGTTTCGAACTGCTGACCTTGCAGTTCGCAGCCTGATTTGTAACCACTACGCTATCACAGAGAATCCCCAAAAAGATACTGCAGTCAAACGCTTTTACTTGAATCTTTAGAGAACATTCCTAATAAAAAATAAGTCTCTTATCTTAAGAGAAAGATATAAAATGAGTAATAACTAGGAAAATGTGTACCGAATAAAAAGCTCACACAGAAAACCACCCATACACTAATTAGGACGAAAGTTAGGGTTAGCAGTTGTCCCTGTGTACATTTTTCTCCTGTGCCCTTATCACAGTGAGGGTTTTCTGTGTGGGCTTTTCATGTGGACTTTTTTCACGTACACATTTTTCCTAGAACCATAATAGCACAGCATCCAAATCACATTAGCATCCTATTTCACAAAATGTATCATGGATATTAAGTGATGCAATGACTAATTAAATCAAGCTCAAAATATCATTTAGAAAACTTTTAACAATATAACTTTACAATTCAAGAGAAATCAATTCAAAGAAAGTATTTTAATAAAAAGGTAATTTCCACTAATGCTTGGACCTTGCTTAGAAATCCTGGTAACTACCTACTTACTTCAGACACAATGATGTCCATCTGACGTCGCAATTTCCTTAGCGTGTTCATAAGTTGTTCAGGGTCTTTATGTATCCCAACCCAACAGCCATTAACGAAAATCTTGGTTGCACTAAAATGCAAAACCGAAAACATTTTGCACTTAGCAATTCTATACTAAGCCATAACAAAAAATGCCAGAGAAAAAACATCTATACACACTCAGCAATAGCTGCAGGTGAAATTTCTTCTAAATTTTCCATACTCCATTCTTCTAAAAATTCCAGAATTGGAGACGGTTGAGATCCAACTGAAATATAAGCCATCAGAGCTAAATTCTTCACAAGTCCTACAGCATGGCCCTAAAGAATAAACATAGTATTGTTCAAATGATTTACCATCCTGATTAAAATTCTAGTCCAGAAACATTTGTCTTTTAATTTCATTTCAAGATGTGGCTACTATTAGTGTAATAATACACTAATTTTCTAAGAACAGATCTCTGAATATCTTAGTTCTAAAGCACACTGCATAATTAAATAAAAACCAAATTCTAAAAGTAACTAAGTCCTACATAATTATTAGCTTACTTTATTATCCTACTCATAAATTCTAATGCGTTACCTCTGGAGTCTCAGCAGGACACACCATTCCCCACAATGTATTATGCAGCTGTCTTGGTTTTGCTAGCTTGCCATCTCTACCAATAGGAGAATTTAAACGACGCAGGTGAGAAAGAGTAGATGCAAAAGTCAGGCGGTTCAACACCTAGAAAAAAATAGCATATTTTTGGAAAATACAAAAAACGAGCAGTCTTATTTTTACATACAATCTATTTTAGAGTGTCGAACGGCCCCAAGTCATTCCTAGCTCCCTCCTTTTCCTGGATAATCTTGTTCAGCACCTATGACTTACCTATCTACACATTATAACAAAATGGCAAATACATGAAGATCAGTGCTGTCACACCACACCAATGTTTTCCTGATGAGCTGACTCCGAATGCTGGATGTTAGTTCCATGAGGCTAGGAATTTTTTCTTTCTGTTTTGTGCTCTGCTATATTCCTACACCTAAAACACTACTTGGCATACATTTGTTGCTAAGTTGTTGTTAAGTGCCGCAAGTCAGTTTGACTCATATGAACCCTGTATAAGGTTTCTGAGGAGTCACTGATGGATTTGAACCGCTGGTCTTGTGGTTAGCAGTGCAGTGCTTATCCTACAGTGCAATACCAGGATATTAGGTACTCAACAAATGTTAAATAAATTAATCCCTTTGACCTTACCAGAATCACTAATCCATCCCAGTACATTTTGCAGACCTCTGAATCCTTCTCAACAGAGATCACACATTCATAAGTACCTAACAACAACAGTTTCCTATCCTTCCAACATATACACTCTCCCACCTCCACACCTCTGACCATGCTATGTCCAGAGAAACAAAAACATTTCTCCACTCTGTTCTGCCTGCTGAAATGTCACCACCTCCACATCCAGGAAGAAATGTTCCCCGCTTTGCTATACTTTCCATTCAACTAATTAAAATCCTAAAAAGAACTACTTCCCAGAACAAACAAAATGGCAGATCGGGTGGAAGTGCAGTACGAAGGTCTGTCGGCAACAACACAGAATACCTGACCAATCAGGCTCAGGGTATGGTCCCAGAACTCTGAACCACATATAAAGGAATTTATAAGGTTGGAAGGCTTACAGCTAGGGGAATTTGTGGCAGAAGCAAGAAGTCCATTGCTTTCTAGTTCAGAATGCTCGGCTGCTCCAGGAGCCGCCATCTTGGGTGAGACCAAGCCGGGGAAGGAACAGAGCGGCCACAGACGCCTGGCAGAACTGCAGAGATAAAGGTGCGAACATTCTTTTCTTTCGGTAGCTGTTCATTGGTCCCTTGCTGTCTGCGCACCTCCATTCTGGTGACTATAAGGGTGCCTGCGCTAGTGGACAACCCAGCCCCACCCTCGAAGGGTTCTACTATACATGCACACACATCTCCTTGAAATTTAAAGACACAGTTTCCACTTAAAACCAAATGGCCACAGCCGGCCCTGAACTGTTTGTAACTAGAAAAAAAGGCCTGAACGGGGATTGTGGAGCTGGACAGGCAGACTCAAAAAGGAAATAGGCTGAAAATTAAATCCTGAGTTACGAGACAATGACCAACAGTGGCATCTTGAAATTTCTCAGGAAGAAGACTAAAAAGGGAAGCCCATCTCCTGATCACATCTACCTGAAGGCAATCAGAAAGCATAATATACCAAAATACCCATCCATCTAAGTATTAAGGCCACAGATAACTCCTGAATATGCCCAGAAAACAGAAACAGATGACAATATCACCACATGTCCAGAAACAAGATAAAGTGACTGAGGCAAATGAGCTAGAAGTAGACCTATACTTCATACTGAAAGATGGGCAGGCCTTGAAAATGCCTGAGAAGGAATTCAGAAAAATGATTATAAAAGTATCAAAACACTATACAATGGAGTTAAGAAAAATAAGAAAGAAGTCAGGAAAGCACTACCGGAACAATCAAAAAAGATAGATACAGCATTGGAAACAATTCAAAACCTACAGAAAGAGATCCAAACAATTAATAATAAAATATCAGAAATGGACAATACACTGAAAGGACAAACTAGTAGAACTGAAGAAATACAAGCCAGAACTAGTCAGCTAAAAGATAAACCTCTCAATACTATTAATATAGAAGAGCAAGCAGGAAAAAGAATAAAAAAATCTGAAGAAGTAAGATTTGTGTTGGAAAACATGAAGAAGAATAACTTAAGAATTATCGACATTCCAGAACAGGAACAATCGCACAAGCCCACAGAGATAGCTGAAGAACTTCTAGAAGAAAATAACCCTAACATCCTAAAAAGCGAAAAGGTAAGCATTCAAGAAGTTCAACTAACCTCAGGAAGGTTAGACGCTAAAAGACAATCACCAAGACACATAATAAGCAAGCTCTCCAAAATCAAAGATAAAGATAAAATCCTGAAAGCAGCTAGTGAAAAGAGAAGTGTAACATACAAAGGCAAGCAAATCAGATTAAGCTCAGATCTCTCAAAAGAAACCATGCAGCCTAGAAAGCAAAGGGGAGACATATATAAAACCCTGAAAGAAAAAAAAAAACAACTGCCAACCAAGAATCCTCTACCCAGCAAAGTTGTCAATCAAATACAATGGTGTAATCAAAACATTCCAGGATAAACAGAAGCTAAGGGATTTTGTCAAAGCCAAATCTGCTATGAAAAACATCATAAAGGAAGTTCTGTGGACTGAGAACCAAGAACAGACAACAACCAAAGATTGATGTACGTGGCAGCATCACCCTGAATTCAGTCAACAAATGGAAGTATCAAGAACAGAATAAAATTATAGGAACACAGGATCCGGGAAGTCAGTCTACGATCAAAACAATTACAAGGTGAAAGAGGACCAGAGATCCAGGTGGTGAGAAGATCAGGTAGATTACAGGATAAAATTAACTGTCTTAAATGGAGGAAGAGTTAATGGAATATAAGGAAACCACAACAATGGGGTTGGGTGAAGGTTTTAGTTCGGGTGTTGGGGAGTGCAAAACAAGAAGTGGGAGGAGGTGGAAGAACAAGTTAGATAGAGGAACACTGAGATAGGTTTGCATGGCCTAAGCAGGACAGAGGTAAATAGGGATGCATGCTCAACTTTGGAACAACAGGGCTCTGTGATACAGGGAGCTAGGCATAGTTTGAAGAGGGGAAATAATACGAAAATGTTTGATTGTCTTTTTAATATTGGTTTCCCTTGCCTACTACTGTAAAATAGACAAGAATGTCTTGAGTGGGATAGATAAGAATGTCAGAAAACATGATTACAGAAAACTTGTATATCCGTCTTCAGCCCATAACTGATTGGAATACCTAAAAGGGGTTCTAGAACTTGCCCAGTGAAATAGGCCTCTTGCATAGCCTTTGCACAGTATAGGAATCCTGAGTCCCATTCAGAACCTTATGAGATGGGGCATTCCCACTAGCAAGGACAAGCAGACCAGCCTGGAACAGCTAGAGCAAAAGAAGATACATCTTCAAAGAAAGATCATCAGGAAAAATCGAAAACAAAA